CACAGCGTCACCCCTCCCACAACCCCGCCCCCCTCAATCACGTCGACCATTCACAGCGCCGACCCCGCCCACTCACGCCTGTAGCCCCGCCCCCTGGACGCCGATGTCCCATCGTAGCCCCGCCCTCTTGGGAGGCGGGTCGGGGCGCAGCGCCTCCACCGCGATCACTGCGGCGCGCGCCGAGGGGAGGGGCACCCACAGCAGCCTGCGTTAAAAGGGCAACGCCGCGCCGTGTTAAAGGGGCCACGCCGCTGTGGGCCCCACCGCAGCCACAAAACCCCAAATTCCCCTCGACTCTGCGCGCAAAGGCGTGGCCGTCCCCCAGTAACACCCCGCGAGCCCCCAGACCCCCGTAAGTTTTTAAGCCCCTTCAGTTCCCCTCTGCGTTCCAACTGAACCCGTCAAATTCACCCCGTACGTCCCACTTCTACCCCGCGCTTCTCCCCAGAATCCCATTTCGATCCCCGAATGCATTTTCAAACGCAAAAAATTTGCCTTCAGGTTTCATTTTTAATTTTTAACCCCACGTTCCATTTCAATCTGCGGATTTGACTCTCCAGAAAACGGCATCCAGGTTCCATTTTCACTCTTTTTCCCCCCAGATCCTCTCCCAAATCCCCAGAGCCCCAAATTCTCCCATTTCTCCCTAAATTCTCCTTCAAATCCCCCCCAAGGCTCTCCCCAGCCATCATTTCCCCTTCTTCTTGCCCCTTTTATCATTATTTTCCCCACAATTCTCCTTTAAATACGCCCTAGACCCCCTCCCAACGCCCCCAGAGCCCCCAATAACCCCCAATTTCGTCCATTATGCCCCCAATTCCCCCATTTTTCTCCCCCACTCACAGCTCCAATTCCTCTGCCGCCATTTGAAGCCACGCCGTCTCTCAGCCCCTCCCACTTCCGCCCTCTCCACCAATCCTCGTCTTCCATTTCTCAGTCTCTTCCCGTCTTTCCCCGCCACTTCCGATGCGCGACAGTGCTTCCGGTGTCTCGCGACGCGCTACCCCTCTTAACTCGTTGGTGCTGCGCCGCTCTCACCGCTCGCGGTCCTCCCGACTCTTTTTCCTTCCACTTCCGTTTCATCCCTACCACTTCCGGCTCCGCTCTGCCCGCCTTCTCGTTGGTGCCGCCTCAGCCCCGCGGCCGCTCTATCCGCGCGGTCCTCCCCGCCATGCTGCTGACGGTGAAGGCGCTGCAGGGCCGCGAATGCAGCCTCCAGGCACGGGAGGGGCGAGGAGCGGGAATTTCGGGAGGCCCCAGTCGGTCGGGGGGGGCACCGATTTTGGGGGGGGGAAAGGGGAGAGAAAGGGAAGGGCGGAACCATAGAGATGGCTGTGGTGGGGTCATGTGATGGTGGCTTCGCGCTGCGATTGGCGGAGAGTGGGGTGTAGGCTTGCGTCACGTGGCGTCTACGGAGGTGCGTGATTGGCGGAGAGGGGGCAAAATGGCGGCGGTGGGGAAATGGGGAAGGGGTTTTGGTGGGGGGAGGGGTCTCCATTTTGGGGCTCCCATGGGAGGATCCTAATTAGGGGTCCTTAATTAGGGGTCCTTAATTAGGGGTCCCCATTTGGGGGCACCAATTTGGGTATCCTTAATTTGAGGGTCCTTAATTTGGGGGTCCCCAATTGGGGTCTATGGGGGGGGGGGGTCTGAAAATGGGGTTCAATGAGAGGATCCTAATTAGGGGTCCCTTAATTAGGGGTCCTTAATTAGGGGTCCTAATTAGGGGTCCCCGTTTGGGGACATAAATTCGGGTGTCTTAATTTGAGGGTCCTTAATTTGGGGGTCCCCAATTGGGGTCTTATGAGGGGGGGTTCCGCAAATGGGGTTCTATGTGAGGATCCTTAATTAGGAGTCCCTAATTAGGAGTCCCTAATTAGCGGTCCCTAATTAGGGGTCCATGGGGAGAGGGGGTTCCCCAAATGGGGGTCTATGGGGGGGTCCCATGTTTGGGTTCCCATATTAAGGGTCCCCAATTAGGGTCTATGGGGGGGATTTTCCCCAATTGGGGTTCTATGGGGGTGTCCCAATTAGTGGTCCCTAATTAGCGGTCCCTAATTAGGGGTCTGTGGGGAGGGGGGGTTCCCCAAATGGGGGTCTCTGGGGGGGTCCTTAATTTGAGGGCCCTTAATTTGGGGTCCCCACTTGGGGTCTATGGGGGGGCAGGGTTCCCCAATTGGGGTTCTATGGGGGTTTGCTAATTAGGGGTCTCTAATTAGTGGTCTCTAATTAGAGTTCTATGGAGAGGAGGGGGT